TTCTATCGCGCGATAAGTAGTTCTATCGCGCGATAAGTTGTTCTATCGCGCCATAAGTTGTTCTATCGTGCGATAAGTTGTTCTATCGCACGATAGAACACTCTAACGCGCGATGAGTTGTTCTATCGCGCGATAAGTAGTTCTATCGCGCGATAAGTTTATCTATCGCGCGATAATGTTGATTGCAAAGTTTTTGACTGAATGGACTTAGCAAAACTTATCGCGCGATAAAGTCATGAACATTTTTGTAGGTGGATGGCCCTTGGGAGCCACCGTAGTAATACCTCGTTTTTCACTAGTGAAAAAAAAATCTATGACCAATCAGCTGGCTCCTCAAGCGCGAAGAGACTATTTTTATCTCGATGCTTTTTGGCGCATAAATCTCGGTATGTATATAATAAAATAAGTTTCAATGATCTAAAAGCATGGATACCAGACCTAACGCGGTATAGATTTAACATTGCTCGTCATCATAGACTACTTCATGGTACACCTGGAAATATTTACTGGCACTCTGAATTGAGTATTTACCCCTCAAGTTCATCCAAGACCAAGTCTTGAGCGATGAAGTGGGCATATTGTTCATGTATCAACATCGTTGGGTCGTTGGAAAAGAGCTGCTATACTCAACATCAAGTCGTTTTCGGTGAACACACCAGTGAATGAAAAATGAGCTGAATGCCCTGCTATTTCCTTGTCACACGACATTCACCTATCCCCTTTTCTGTCTTTTGGATTATAACCATAATCATCCACAACAAGAGATTTAAATGAACAACAAATTTCCATTCTTCAAGATATTTAAACTCAGTTGTTTACTGGTTGCGCACTAAGTTTATCAGTAAATAGAAAAATCTGTATTTTATTTCAAATTTAAAAAGTAATTGTACTTTTTTTGTGAAATCATAGGGGAGACATTGTTCTAAAATTCTGTGGGATGAGTAAGTTTTTCAGTGCTTTTACAAGTACGAACGAGACCTCCAAAACTGGGCTAAACTCGACCGTTGAATGACGCTAATTATGTGTAAATTGAGTTTTATCAATTTTCTCGAAAACAAAAGAATTTTTTTAACAAACTATATATGTGTTGGTTTGTTTTACCTATAGGCCTACCTAATACTAGAATTTGAGCCAATTCGATTTTTTGACCGTTGCCGATGATTTGTGAATTTGTTTGATTTTTGGTGACATCTTCTCTTAGGCCTAGTTTATACGTCGCGCTACAGTCGAATTTAATTCAGAGGAATTTAATTCAAGGTCCCACAAGCAATTAAATTCGACGATAACGCGACGTCTAAAACGAATTATATTCGTCTGGTAAATTAAATTCGTCCTTGACGTTTTATCCGTCTTGGTAAGACGGATAAAATATCGATAACGCGTCTTCAGTTTTAACGTCGCACAAGCGTCGCGTCGAAAGAAATGCATACATTTTCTTAATGTATTTCAACCGCGCCATGTTTGTTTCAAAATGAAACCTCTGACCAGAGGCACTGCATTTGGGAAGAGAATTAAATTCGATCGTACTGATTTCGACGCATAAAACCACGCCACGATTTACGTCGACGGAACAACGAATTTAATGGAATTGATTTCGTCTGAATTAAATTCGACTGTAGCGCGACGAATAAAACTAGGCCTTAAATCGAATAAAGGGCTAATTAGTCCATTCAACTTTTACTTCACTTATGTTTCACTTAACCCTTCGTCAGAGCGAATGACGAGGGGCTAACGCTCGAAACGTCAGCTATTTTATTCGTTACGGTGGCCAATTTATGATTTAAACTTAGTTGATATAACCAAATTACCTTGTTACCCCCACCGATGCAGCACCACAATTTCTTTAGAAACTTTCAGCCACAATTCAAGAAATTTAAACAAACGGCCTCGGATTGAAGATAAAGGCCCATTTAGACGGTTTCAACATTTGACCAACATTCGTTCAACAAAAGTTGAACGGATGTTGGGCACATGTTGGAAGCTAAAACAAAGTTGCGCGGGGGCCGTTCAAACGGTTTTCTACGGTGCCCAGTAAGGGACATCAGATAAAAACACTTTCTGTAACAAGCAGTGCTCCTTATTTATCTAGCACTGCCACTTATTTATCTGGCACTGCTACTTAATAAGTGGCAGTGCTACTTATTTATCTGGCAGTGCTACTTATTTATCTGGCACTGCCACTTATTTATCTGGCACTGCCACTTATTTATCTGGCACTGCCACTTATTTATCTGGCACTGCCACTTATAACTGGCACTGCTACTTACAACAGTGGTAGATAACTAAGTAGCAGTGCTAGATAAATAAGTAGCACTGCTTGTTACAAAAAGTGTTTTTTTATCTGATGTCTCTTACTGCACCGTAGTTTTCAACATTGCGCCAACAAACGAACCAATATTTTCGGGAAATTTAATTGTGAGGAACTAAGAACTAGAAACCAGACTCTCTCCAGACGCCATATCGACTTTTGCAACCTGATATGAGCATGCGTGTGTTCAATTGTTTCATGACAGAGTGTTCAAACGGCTTCAACACCCTTCAACATTTTCGAGAACAAAAGAAAAGTTGAATCGATGTTCAATGAAAGTTTAAACCGATTCAAATTTGATTCAACATGCTTTAAACAAGCTTTCAACTATTTTTTCGTTTTCAACAATGTTGGACGACCGTTTTAAATGCACCGAACATTTGTTTCGACAAAGTGTTGAATGCATGTTGAAGCAAATGTTGAAACCGTTTAAACGGGCCTTAAGGAAGGCATTGCCACTCATGTATCAAGCTGACAGAGTGGCGCAAAAGCGAGTGACGCGTCAGCAGCTGATTGGCAGCATCAAACACATGTGAAAAAGTATCATATTTTGTCAGTTGTGTTGTTATAGCTTTTCTCAGGGCTGGAAATCCTTGTATAACGCCTATGTTTATATGATAAAACGTACTTTCCAAGTCTTGCCCTAGCTGTACTCCGGAATATTGGCCCTCGGTCGTTTAAATACAGACCTCGCTGCGCTCGGTCCATGCTGCCACGACCTTTCGCCAATATTTCCCCTACAGCCCTCACGCTCGGTTAGTAAGAAGTAACTATTTTGTTATTATCTGAAGCCACACGCTAACTGTCTTTCAAATAGTTGATTAGACTCAGGGGTTTTTCCATGAATCTCGGGAAAGATCAAAGAAAATAAACAAGGCAATTACGACTGTGTATCTTTTCTGTCTTACCTTTTATATCAAACTAATAGATCAAAGTTCCTCCATGGATTTCGACCTTGGCGGACCATCAACTTTTCTGTCACAAGCTGGTTTGAATATCATGTGCTCGAACTTATAGATAATTTCAAATAAAGGCATTAGTTTACTTTTCTACTCTGAAATTACTAATTCGTTTGGTGTTGTGTTCTTAAATATGATGTATTCATGTATTTTTAGCGATTCGTTGGAAATAGGGACCAGGAAACCGTTGTTTATCACAAGTTATCCACACCAATCCAAGCTCGTTTCATTAGAATCAGACCTAAATCCTGGTATGGTTGGATATCACTCAGGATGGAGCTTTACGGCTGTTTAGGTATCATTGTCACCTTTTATGTGCAAAGATGTACTCAGTTCGTTGAACTGTCTGTCTGTTAGAGACTCACTGTGGAATGACTGTCTGGCAAACCGAGCTAACTGATCATGACCGATTGACTGATCGGCTGACTGACGATGATGAACGAAGGAACGAACACATTATTAACATAAGAAACAAGACCAATGACTTGAAGAATAAACATTGATCGGCTTATTGAATGACTGACTGATTGACCGACTGAAACCAGCTCTATATGGGTAAATTCTTATTGCTACGTCATATCTTATCCACTTTATGCTAGCATTAACAAATATTAACCAAGGAATCAAGGACTCTCATTTTTTTAAAAGAGGGATAAAGTTGAATGACAAGTGAATCGTTGGGCATTTGTTTATGAGTACGAGGCTATTTAGCCGCTTTTTGCATTTGATAGGGGGCCTCTCAAACTTTCATTGTGGCTTCTGAAATTGAGAATGTCTTATTCCAATAGCAATTTAAAAACACTCTCAGTTCCTCTCCTCCTGGTTTACAGGGTGTTTTACACCTCTTGGTATGGAGAACGGGCGGATAAAGGATGCTCAAATCACCGCCTCTTCAGATTATAGCGTTCAACATGCTGCAAAGTTTGGAAGGTTGAACTTCAAGGCAAGGGGAAAAAAGCAGGGAGGATGGTCAGCAGGCATCACTGCTAATTCCTGGATTCAAGTGGATCTTACCAAGTACACTGTAGTGAAAGGAATAGCGACACAAGGGAGAAATGGTTACAGCCAGTGGGTAACTAAATACAAGCTGCAGTACAGCGACGATGGAGTGAACTTTCACTATTACGGAGAATCCGACCAGAATCCGCCAAAGGTAAGGCTGTCTTTAAGTATCTCTTTATCCTGTTTGGCACACCTGACGGCCTTGAAGAGGTAAGGTTTATACTAATCTTTAGATTAGTGTAAGTATTGCGCTCGCATTAAGTTTAACCTTGAGGAGAAAGGATTTTGGTAAAAAGAGACGGAAAAAGGAAAGAAAAACCTGGCGTGTAAGCATTTGTTTCTATCACACGTGGCAGAGAAATGTTTTAACCCACCACACCAGCCGTATGAGCTAGAATAACGGGGCCAGCAGCGTGCGCGAAGCGAAGTGTAACAGATAAGAAAGTATAGAAATAAGAAAATTATTGTGTTGTCATCGGCTTGAACTGTTCCACCCCACAAGACGCAAGATTTCTCTTTTATCATGTGTTTTCAGTTACACTGTGGGCATATCTACACCCTGCCTTGCTCTTTTTCGACCTTGTTCAGGGGACGACAATGCACAAAGACTCTGAGCTCTGACTTGATTTGGTGGTGAATGTCGTTTCAAATTTTACCGTTCCTTCGCGATTTTTCTTGATATTTCGTAATGACCCAATGCAGATACAGTTATAATTAAGGCAGAGGATGGTGCATTAAGTTTAGGTAGACAGGGTTTTGATAAAAAGGTACGGGAAAAAAAAGAGAAAAACACAAGCGAAGCGCGGAAAATGACGCACGAATTCTCACATCTAAAAATGGACAGACCCCTCCAACTGAGCCTGGCATTGCAAACTACCCTCCTCTTTTAATTTATGAATTGATCCTGGCCCCCAGTCGTGGTTATTGCCATTTACGCGCTGAACCCCAACCCCACCCCCCTCGTCGCCATCCGTAGTAAGAAACTCTCCCACCGATGGTTAGAACATCTAGTAAGGTGGAGGAAAGTACTGTTCCGCCTATAGGTCTGGCAAGATATTTATATCATTGGTGAATACGCTGCTCACTTGCTCTCATTTCTGCTTTAATTGTTCACTTATTAATTTTCATCGTTAGGTCTTTGAAGGAAATAAAGACACAGACAGTATTGTGTACCACCATTTATACCCTCCGATCAAAGCACGTTTTATCAGATTAAGGCCGACAGAATGGTCTGTCCATGTGTCACTTCGGATGGAGCTCTACGGTTGCTTAGGTATGACAGCTACGCGATGTGTATGTGTTCTTGGCTACTGACTGAGCAAACCGACCCACCGAATGAAGGCTGATAGAAAGATTGACCAAAGCAACGATCGACAAACTGACTGACTAGATGATCTATAGGCGACCAAAAGTATCTAATTGAAATTAGGTTAGCATTTTTTTGGCGCCAAATTTAACAGCTTGGGCATTAGGAGCGAGAGAAAGCAAATTCAGGGTTTGCATATACATCGATTTTCTACAAACAAATCACAAAATCTTGTTTGTCCAAAACAATAACACTGACTTTATCACTGAAATATAGATCCCTCAGCGAAGTTACAATGCAACCGCAACAACATGACAATACACGTTCCTAAGACCCTCCTTCCTGGTATCAACCGCGTGCATCTCCGACTCCTGGACACGGAATGCAAAGCTGAGGAAGACGACATTTATTACAGTCTGACAACGCCGCTAACCGGGTGTAAAACTACACGCAAGCACACGACCACAGCTGTCGTTTACTCTAATATGGTCTTGAAAGTTCCCACAGCTTCCAAAAAAGCCATGATACGTGAATTGAAAATACAGTTCAGCTGTGTTTATTCCAGTCATGGTGTGGTGTCATCGGTTGGTTGGAGGGCAGTCAACAGAAAAGTTATAATTAGTGAAGAAGGGGAAGGGAACTTTACACTCGTTTTGAATATGTTTCCTGACAAGAAATTTGAGATTCCTTACAAGGAAGAGGATTTTCCTCTTTTTGTGGCGCAGAAACGTCTTTTCTTGGAGGTATCGGTGATAAGTGATAGGCGGCTGTCAATTATTGCTGATCGATGTTATACCACGCCCACTCGTGAACGAGAAAACGCTCAGAAGTATGAGTTTATTTCCAAAGGGTAAGCCAAGTATTTGATCATGTTATTTCTTGTTGTGGCCGTTAGACTTCAGTTTAGAATCAGAGAATACTTTCAATTATGTAGGCATTGCAAACCTTCTAAAATCTGGCCCTAAACAAAATCGGTCATCTTCCAACGCTTGTAATGTCACGTGCAAGACTTTCTTCATAAATTATGCGTATTGTACAAACGCAATATAATGTAATACAAAGCAAGCAGGTCAACACAGAACGCGTCCTCCTCCTCTCTTCCCCTTCTTCTTCTCGCGTTATGTGGTCCAAATGGGCCAAGGAGTAATCAGCTTGAACGTAGGAGAAGGATAGCATTGGTTTAAAACGGTTGTTTGGTTTGACAGTTTTTCTATTTGTTTGGCTGAATTACAACCTGGAATTTTTTCTTCTTAGATGTGCAAACTATCCATCTGTGGTCTACCACCCCGCACCCTCGATCAACTTGCAGCGGTTTAGCCTTGAAACCGCTAAATTTATTGGCACCGATTCGTTTGTATTTGTTCACTGCCACGTGATCGTATGCAACGCAACTGACCCAGATTCCCAATGTGCGAAGAAGTGTCCATCAGGTAACCGAGGGAAACGTCAAGTAAGCGATCACGAGATTGATGAACGGTATTCTTTGACCCAGGGTCCACTCCTTCATGTTAGCGCGAAGAAAAAAGAAAAGGAAAGCAATGGTGAAACCAGTAACGAGAAGAATGGTTTGTATGCAGACTTCAGATAAAACATTTCTATAGAAATATATATCATACCGTACATGAAATTAAGTCACACCTATAACTCAGATGTAATTTGGTTCTCTGAAGTTATAATTAGAAAGCGGGGGTTATCGTTGTCGGCGCTAATTACTGTTGTGTGTGAATGAAGTAGCCGCGCAAAAAGAAGAATACTCTTCGGTCAACCTTCAACGTTGATGGCTGTTATATTTTTTTTGCTTGGCTTTTGCTTTCTTCGCCCTTTTTTGTATTTTTTTTCTTTTTTGAGATCTTTGGTTGTCAGCTTCCCTCATTATCAGATCCGTGGAAAGATGACCGTTATCAATCTTAATAGATTACTTTTAATAAGTAAATTATGAATATTTTAAAGCGATATGGGTAGCATGGTTACCTCGCCATCCAGCAAGCCAACATATCAAAGTTATTGCATTTTCGGTCGAGTACCACAGTAAAGAAAGGGAAAGGCGTCCTACATTGGGCCTAAAATAATTTTAGGCTTCCTACAACAGTATGTCCCCCTTCCTAGTCCCAAGGCAGCGTCATGTTGCCTACTATTTATAATAAATAAGACACGAGAGGCAATCCCTTCAAGTAATTATGGAACTTTAGATTGATGAACACGGGGTTGCTTAACATGGTTGCATGAAGCGATGATTTAGTTACCTATATTCTACAAAAGAACGTCTGTATGATATCTTAATATCTGTGTGGTCTAGACGTACTTCATTTATCAACTACCTTCTTGCCTCTTTAGCTTCTGATACTACCTTCGTGGTAGGTCTGGTAATGATATGCATTGCTTGCTTGGCGGCCATGGGGACTGGACTGGTAGTCTTTAAGAAGTTACGAGACAAGCGGTCTGCTGCAGAGGTTTTCAGTGGTCATGAGAAGGAAAAGCATGAACATTGATGATACAGACCGGACTGGACTGAACTGACCCTGGACGACACTTGAGTTTGAGAAATACATAAGCTTTCACTAGATGCGCAGTTGCCTCCCTATGATTTTTCTATGAGAAATCAGTATTTTACATGAGGACTAGCATTTCAACGACTTTTGCTAACGATCTCTGTTTGTCTCTTTGGTGTAACCAATGATTGGACATCGTAATTACAACTTCCTAGTGTAGGGGTTACAACCCTTTTCGATTGAACATAGCTGTAAGCCACCTATTCCCAGAATAATCATAACCCTAAGTCAGAAACAGGAGCGCAGGTGGGAACTCAACGGTGATAAATAAGGACTCCTTCAAGCGTAGGAAAACGCGAGTGATCTGGTCACATGTGTTTCCAGTTTTTCATTTGATTGGCTGACTGGATAGCGCAAAAATTTCAAGACCAAGCTGCGTGAAATCGAAAAGTGCTGACTAAGTAGTTGTTTGTGAAAATTTTTTAATCAGTGCTGAGTATGATAACACTGATGACATCAAAGCGTACCTTTATAGTTTTCCTGGATTTAGATGTTTTCATATCTAAGATTGAGACAAATATTCATAAGTTGTTTAAGTGGGCTTAGCAAGAAGACGATATGAAGATATCTGTTTCTTGAGCTTTAAAGACAAAGTGAAATTAGGAACTTTTTTGTCCAAGTTTTCTTATTCCTAACATCTCTTCTAGTACGCTTTGATTCCTTAATGTTTAGATCTAGAATAGAAATGTCTGTTCAAAATCTGGTATATGAACATGACATTATTTCACATATTGAAAGGTATTATGTTGCAATTTAAAGCTTAAAAATTGTATTTCTCAAGCTTAGGCTGACTTTTATTCCTAAAAATTTTGAGTAGCCTTAAAACTTCTACTATGTCGACATCACAATAAAATCTTTTGCTCGTCGAGGCATAGTCAGTAAACAGGGTTCCGTTTGCAAGGCTGCACAAAATTTTAGTTCTGTTTCATGATGCCAAATGGATGTGATTTAAACCAATTAATAATGCAAAGCTTCTAGTATTATTTTTAAACGAGTAATAGCGAGTAGAAAGCATAATAGCTATAGTATCTTTTTTTTCCGTCTTGTTTTACTTCCTTGAGCAAAAGGTAGAACTTTATCCGGAACAAAACAAACTGTTTAATTAGTCTAAAACCTCTACACTCTTTCGCTTAAGTGGTCCTACAGGTAGCACCGTTGTCATTTTTGCCTTGAGGTACAATGCTGGTAGCATGCTACTTTTTAAAATAAAATAAGTGTAAATTATATTGTGGGCGTTTTACTCAACATGGAAAATCATCGAATCTATGATAAAATTCAATTCCATGCAAATTTACGGCTTTCATTTAAATTAAATCAAAATTATGTCCAACTATCGGGATTTTTCAGGTTTTTCATTTGATTTAATTGAGATCAAGGACTAGAGAAAGTGTAATAACAATTAGGAAGCCCGCTTAGATTCATGAAATTACGAAAAAAAAAGGTGGAAAGTTGTCGATCTTGATATCAGTCTCTGTTGAATGAGGTAGATATTTACTGAGCTATTCTTTTACTCATCACCAATCAAAACACCTTTCATCTTTGCTTTAATTTCAGAAATTGATGGATGACCCGTGCTTTTCTTCGGGTTGGGTAAAATTGGCTAAACCCCTTGAACTGCTGTAGTAAGACCCCTCAGTAATCTATGTCCATCGTACAGCTCTTGAATTTCTTAACAGTTTTATCGCGGCACTATATATAGATATCATAGCTTATTTTTTCCATCCATCCTGAGATTTTTACTTAAAGTACTATTGTTCGTGTGTCTTATCGACCGAAAGATATTTTTCCACAGTCGTTTGCTTCCAATCTTTGACTAAATGTGTCGGTCAGTAGTTAGAAACTGGGGCTCTTAGTCATTTTGAAATTGCAAAAGTCTCCCTCTTGTAAAATTAAAATGTCATTGACACATACATCGTTCATGTCTTTTTTAGGAGACTCAACACGATTGCTTGTGTCCATCAAAAAATTCATTTTAACATTGAAATATCATGATCATCGAATTCCTTCAGGAGGTAACTCGTTCCCAAGAAGAAGTAACAAGAGCTCCCTTCGTACGAGACCACGCTTTGGACCATCCCTGAGGTAACAGATCTAGAGAACTGACTCGTTCTTATTCACAATTGCTTTATCGATATTATAGACCTCCGGAGACCGCACAGAATCTGTTGCTCGCCTTTGACCACCGTTCTTACTCGCCAGGTCAATAGAGATATTTCACATTCTCTGAGGAGTCGAGTCGCTTCACCTTCAAGCCAAAAGGTCTTAAATAGGTGCTTGGACTCTTTGCATCAACTTTTCTTTGATTGCGTTCACAGCTTTCTTTCCAGTCAACCTGGTTACTTCACCCTTCAAAGCTGAAACAAATTCTGGAAGCCTCCTCACTCTTTCTCTTCATCTCTCTAAAGATTTAAAGTTCATCGCTAACTGCGTTGGAAAGTGAAGAGGCGTTCACGCAAAGTTCGATTGAGTCGCTAAACTATTCTCTCATACCTGTGAACGTTCACATTTCCTTTTCTTATCCTCGCATTATGCCTTGCAATCTCTCTTGTTACATACCCATGAATTCGCGCCCAGAATCAACCAGAGGAACTTTTGGCCTTCTCAGTGGTCCTCGCTAATAAATTGTTTTGAGACATCAAAAGAATCGTTTGAGGTGAGAGGTGCAGCACCCTTAAATCTACCTGTTAATGTAAACTTATCGCCTCTGCTCCCTCTCGGGAGTTTGCCACGTGAAAAAGGAAAAGAAGATCAGCTTGATAAACTGCATTTGGAGATTCAAAATCAAAAATTGGTCTCGGGCTATGCTTTTACGAATGACAAACATTGCATTTCATTGTGAAACACACAATACAGCTTAAGTACTTTAGCGAATAAAAATTTTGTGAGGAAACTTTCGTTTAACTCTGATGTATTCCATGTAAACATTTCGATATAGAGATCTCCGAATACGTCAATGGGGGATCAAACACTGATAAGCTTTTAAGTCTCGGAAACGGTTTGCCTGCCAAGCATTCGAATTAAAAAAAAAAAGGAAAAACAAGCGAAAAACATGTCTAGGAAAGTCAATTCTTCATCGATGGGTCTGTAGCAGACCCATACTTCGGACTTTCAACTGGAAAATTCTAGGTCTTTTTCCCTCTCGGACAAGTTGCCGACCCTGTTTTCTGTCCATCTCTTTTCCTGTGCATGTCCTCTCACCGGTTATTTATGCGATATTTCAGGAAATATTATTCTATATCACATTCATGCAATCTGATAAACTCTCACCAGTGTGATCTATTAAAAAATTCCACTATTTTATGCCTTAAATCGCATCTCTCTCTCAGCCATCCCGCTTTACTAAAAGAAAACAACCAATCCAATTTCAAGGCTTGTTTAGAGAAATCAATCAAATTGCAGCAAAATGAGAGACATCCTTTTTTCCAACCTTTTACAAACTAGCTCAGTATACTGGATCATTAACTTGAAAATATCTGTAGACTAAAAGCTTAAGAATTGTATTGAGAACCTCTGAATTTTGTAATATCTAAAAAAGGTGTAATAAACTGATAAATGAACTTCGTGTCGTGTAATATTGGTCGGAAATCATACTTGGGATTTTGCTGCTTTTTGCTTTGGTTTTTAAATCACGTGTAAGATTATATCTCAATCATTAGTCAGAGTTGACAAAAATGGAGGAAAGAGTGACTCATACACAACTTTGTTGGTGCCTGTATTTCTTGTGAGAAAGATTGTTTAGAAAAGATAGCAGTGAGGAGAAATGGGGGAAGTGGGTTTTTTGTCAGAAACTCGTAAACTACTTAATACATTACTCAGTCTACAATACATTCAGTTCACTTACTCTAACTGTTGGGTTTCATTCTTGCGTCAGTGCGCCTTTAGCGGCAAAAATTAATCAGTCGAACAAAGAGACTTAAGATGACTGTCCTCTTAAACCAGAGCTCCCTCTGGAGTAGGGTAAAAAATATGGACCACACCATTGAACCCCTAGACTGGTGGACCATTTTTGGACCATATTTAGACCATAATTTGGACCACTTTATCGACTATCAGTGTTATTGGCTGTAAGACTCAAGTGACGTAAGTCGGTCGTGACTGGTCTGTTTCGATCTGTCGGTAAAGTTAGGTCGTTCTTTTTCGGTCTTTTGTAATGTTTGTGTCGTGAATGAGTCGTTTGTATGGAGCTGGTAGTTGTTGACATCTGTTTAGAGGAGTCTGTTCTAAGTTCGTAAACCAGCTTTCCAGAGTCAGTCGTTGAAAATAGTCAGTGCTGTAGGTTAGGCATTGCGCAGAGTCCCAGTCAATGTTGTGGTTGGTAAGTCGATGGTGTTCAGCAATGTGATTACTGATATCACCTTTCCTAGTCGCCCGTCTGTGTTCAGTCAGTCTTGTTGAGACGTTTCTGCCAGTCTCATCGATGTAGGAAGCTTGGCAGTCGGAACAATTGATCTTATAAATCGTTCCCTGTCTGTTCCTCGGTTCGTCTTTGTCTTTAACGTTGGTTAGTAACTGACGTAGTGTGGTGATGGCTTTGTGGGCGACGCGGCTATTGAAGGGTAGTAAGAAGCGCGAGACGTTTTCATACATGCCTTTTTTGTACGGTATGGTTGCTGTAGTCGTAGGGGTTGCGGTGTCGTTTGTTTGGGTAGTGGTAGTGGGTCGGTGAGTGTTTCGTCGGATGAAGTCGTTGTTGTAGTTGTTCTTCGTAAAAACACGGTGAAGGTATTTGTTCTCGTCGGATAAGCTGTCTGTCGAGTCACATACTAGTTGTGCGCGTCGTGTTAGAGTTCTGATAGTTGTGGCTTTGTGTGATGTAGGGTTGTAGGATGACTCGTCTAGTAATCTGTCGGTGTGTGTCGGTTTCCTGTAAACTGTCGTTCGTAATGAGTTGTCGTTGTGGCTTACCAGGCAGTCTAGAAAAGGAAGTTTGCCATTTTCTTCGACTTCTCTGGTAAACTGTATGTCAGTGTTTTGTTCGTTAAGGTGGTTGTGGAATGCGTCAATTTCGTCGTGTCGAACGGCGGTGAATGTGTCGTCAACGTAACGTAACCAAAGCGGTATCGTTTGTCGGCAAGTCGAAAGGGCGCGTTCCTCGATGTTCTGCATCACAATTTCTGCTATAACAACAGAAACTGGAGACCCCATGGCAGTGCCGTGTAACTGTTTGTAGTGTTTACCGTTGTACTGAAAGTAAGTAGACGTTAGGCAAATGTTTAGCAAGTCCATGATGTCGTCTGTCGGTAGCGGTAGTGGNNAATTCAAACAAACTTTTAATTTAAGAGTTTTTTATTTTAACTACATCATTACTACATTTTCTAAGTTTTCATAGATTCTTACATATTGAATCATTTGCAAATCTTCTCACTTTGTCTTTTGCATAGTAGAAACATGTTTGTAATTAAGTCCATTTTCTGCATTAAGTTCATTTTGTATGTGACAGATATTGAAGGGAAATAGAGACAGGGACAGTGTAGTTTATCACAAGCTGAACCCACCTATCCAAGCTCGTTATATCAGACTCCGACCAACAGCATGGTATCGTCATATATCACTAAGGATGGAGCTTTACGGTTGCCAAGGTATGAAAAATGTTAAAGAGATGAAAATTTACCATTTTATTTTGGGCTAATTTGTTTTACAGAATTTCGAATTGGGTCAAGTTAAAACCCTTTTGTCGAGATTACACTGAGGACAGTTTTCTTTTTCTCTGAACCTGGCCTGTAGGCACGGAACCTAGCAGAATTGTTCACCTAGATCCTTTGAAGAGAACAGATCTCTCAAAAGTCTTCGAAGGAGTGTTTGGAGCAGATCTCGAATATTCCTGCAGGATTGAAGTTAGCCCTGTGGGTTCACACAAATCACACCTGTTTTTCCCTCTCTGACCCATTTGCAATGCTCTAAAGCAGAGAAATTATAACCACCAGCATGGTCTGCATGACTGCTACTGAGTCTATAATTTACGCATTGATTCCCCATCATTTCTGTATAAAAATCGTGTTTTCGTAAGAATTGAGTAAGGCACTCTGTTATGTTTGTTTGACATTTTGCCATGTGAGATTTTCACATTGAGCCCTTAATTGACATCACTCCCTCTGAGTCCGGTAATCAACTTCCGGAACATGGTCAAATAAAGACAGACAGGAAATTACAAATTTAATGGGCCAAAAAGATACTTCTGGTGCTTGGATCTAGGGAAGGTTAGGAGAAGGAGACACACTGAAAACAAAAATTAAAGAAAATGATACACAAATATTTTGATCTCACTGAGGGGTACTTTAATTAAAGACTATTAAACTTCAAGATTTTTAAAACATGTACTTACTTTACACTTCTAACTGAGTGTAAAAATGTATTGCAAGAAAACTTAGACATGTTTATATTAAAATGTCAATTGAAAATGTGAACCAGATTTTTTTGATTCATTTTTCTTTCTCATGTGAAGAAATATTTTTAGGTTTTTTCTTTTACACTCAAGTCACATTTATTCTTGGGAACAACTAACATCTCCATATCAGGCTCTCGACATCGGAGGCTGTTATAAGGCTAGCCTTAATTTATGATTCTTTTAAGGATGCATTTAATCTGTTTTTTGCACTTTTGTTTAAAATAATTTTTTTAACATTTTTAATTTGTTGGGTGCATTTTAATCTAGGTACCCAAGACAATAAATAGAAATGGTGCTATTAGAACTGAATTTGTTTATTTATTTATTATTTCCATGTATTTAAATTTCTTTTTTAATTTATCTTACTTTGTCAAGAATTTTAGGTTCTTTTTCTTAGTCAATCATCTTCATTAATGCATTCTTGTCATCTTGTTTTTTTCCTCTTTGGCTACGCACAGAGTGTTCAGGACCTCTTGGAATGGAAAGTGGCCGCATTCAAGATGCTCAAATCACTGCATCGTCAGAATGGGATAGAAATCATGCAGCAATCCAAGGAAGATTGAACTTTAAGGCTGGCGGAGGCAAACAAGGAGGATGGTCAGCTCGCCAGAATAATGGAAATCAATGGATCCAAGTGGCTCTTGGCAGTTACACCAAATTAACAAGTATAGCGACACAGGGAAGGAATGCTCACAACCAGTGGGTGACAGCATACAAGCTGCAGCACAGTGATGATGGAGTGAACTTCTATTACTATAAATCACCAGGACAGAGCTCTCCCACAGTATTATCAAGCCCACAAAAGTGCACACTTAATTTAAAGCTTTGTTGTTTCTGTTTTCAATGATCTTTACATGTATATCGTATACTAAAATTAATTAGCTCAGGGTCTATACTGTAAGTATTTAGGCTCCTGGTTTATCACCCAAGGGGAAAGCTGACACGTTCAGGCTACAATCAGGTACAGGCCATAATCCTGAGCAGAAAAACAAGACTCTGTTTCTTTCAGTACTAACTGAGGAAACAAGTTAAGTAGGATATTTATTATAACTCTGGATTCAAATGAGGGGGGGGAGACAGTTTTCTTTTTCTCTGAACCTGTTGAGAGTTTTTGATTTTAACTACATTATTACTACATTTTCTAAGTTTTCATTTATTCTAAGTTAAACATATTAAATCATTTGCCAATTTTCTCACTATTTCTTTTGCACACTGTGGAAACATATTTCTAATTAAGTTCATTTTGTATGTGAGATATGGAAGGGAAATAAAGACAGTGACAGTGTTGTTTATCACAAGCTGAACCCACCCATCAATGCTCGTTATATCAGACTCCAACCAACAGCATGGTATGGTCATATATCACTAAGGATGGAGCTTTATGGTTGCCAAGGTATGAAAAATGTTAAGGCTGCTGAGATTCAAGATTTTTGAAACACATTCTTACTTCTGCATCTTACTGAGTGTATGGATATGTTGTAAGAAAACTTAGACATGTTTATTTTAAAATGGTAATTGAACATGTGAAATAGGGTTTTTGATTCATTTTTCTTTCCCATGAGAAAGAAGTTCTTTTTTGACACCAGATTAGGCTCTAAGCATCACTCAGGGAGACAGATTTTGAGGCTAACCTTATAACAATGATTCTTTTAAGGATGCATTTGATTTGTGGTTTTCACTTTTATTTGAAATGTCATTTTATTTTAAATCACATTTTACAATTATTGTATCAAATTTTTTATTTTGTGGGATTATTTTACTGTAAAGTGCCTAGGAGACAATCATTGGAAATGGTGCTATTTGAATAAAGTTCTTTATATTTATTATTTCCATGTATTTAATTATTTTTTATGATAATATTATTTTTACCTTGTCAAGAGTTCTTAAGTTCTCTTTCTTAGACAAACATCTTCATGAATGCAGTCTTGTCAACTTGCTTTTGTATTTTTCCTCCTTGGCTATGTGCAGAGTGTTCAGGACCCCTTGGAATGGAAAGTCGACACATTCAAGATGCTCAAATCACTGCATCTTCAGAATGGGATAGAAATCATGCAGCAATCCAGGGAAGATTGAACTTTAAGGCTGGTGGAGGCAAACAAGGAGGATGGTCAGCTCGCCAGAATAATGGAAATCAATGGATCCAAGTGGCTCTTGGCAGTTACACCAAATTAACAAGTATAGCGACACAGGGAAGGAATGCTCACAACCAGTGGGTGACAGCATACAAGCTGCAGCACAGTGATGATGGAGTGAACTTCTATTACTATAAATCACCAGGACAGAGCTCTCCCACAGTATTATCAAGCCCACAAAAGTGCACACTTAATTTAAAGCTTTGTTGTTTCTGTTTTCAATGATCTTTACATGTATATCGTATACTAAAATTAATTAGCTCAGGGTCTATACTGTAAGTATTTAGGCTCCTGGTTTATCACCCAAGGGGAAAGCTGACACGTTCAGGCTACAATCAGGTACAGGCCATAATCCTGAGCAGAAAAACAAGACTCTGTTTCTTTCAGTACTAACTGAGGAAACAAGTTAAGTATGATATTTATTATAACTCTGGATTCAAATGAGGGGGGGGAGGGGGAGGGGGGAGACTTCAAACAAACTTTTAAATTGAGTTTTTTATTTTAACTTACGTCATTACTACATTTTCTAAGTTTTCATAGATTCTTACATATTGAATCATTTGCCAATCTTCTCACTTTGTCTTTTGCATAGTAGAAACATGTTTCTAATTAAGTCCATTTTCTGCATTAAGTTCATTTTGTATGTGACAGATATTGAAGGGAAATAGAGACAGGGACAGTGTTGTTTATCACAAGCTGAACCCACCAATCCAAGCTCGTTATATCAGACTCCGACCAACAGCATGGTATCGTCATATATCACTAAGGATGGAGGTTTATGGTTGCCAAGGTGTGAAAAATGTTAAGAATGCTGAGATTCAAGATTTTTGAAACACGTTCTTACTTCTGCATCTTACCGAGTGTATAGCTATGTCAACTGTAAGAAAACTTAGACATGTTTATTTGAAAATCATGGTAATTGAACATGTGAAATAGGGCTTTTGATTCATTTTTCTTTCCCACGAGAAAGAAGTTAGTTCTTTTTTGACACCAGATTAGGCTCTCAGCATCACTCAGGGAGACAGATTTTGAGGCTAACCTTAGAACAATGATTCTTTTAAGGATACATTAGATTTGTGGTTTTCACTTTTATTTGAAATGTCATTTTATTTTAAATCACATTTTATAATTATTGTCTCAAATTTTTTATTTTTTGGGATTATTTTACTGTAAAGTGCCTAGGAGACAATCATTGGAAATGGTGCTATTTGAATAAAGTTCTTTATATATTTTATCATTTCCTTGTATTTAATTATTTTTTACGATATATTTTACCTTCTCAAGAATTCTTAAGTTCTCTTTCTTAGACAATCATGTTCATGAATGCATTCTTGTCATCTTGCTTTTGTATTTTTCCTCCTTCACTATGTACAGAGTGTTCAGGACCCCTTGGAATGGAAAGTCGGCACATTCAAGATGCTCAAATCACTGCATCTTCAGAATGGGATGGAAATCATGCAGCAATCCAGGGAAGATTGAACTTTAAGGCTGGTGGAGGCAAACAAGGAGGATGGTCAGCTCGCCAGAATAATGGAAATCAATGGATCCAAGTGGCTCTTGGCAGTTACACCAAATTAACAAGTATAGCGACACAGGGAAGGAATGCTCACAACCAGTGGGTGACAGCATATAAACTGCAGTACAGTGATGATGGAGTGAACTTCTACTACTATAAATCACCAGGACAGAGCTCTCCCATGGTATTATCAAGTCCACACAAGTGCACACTTAATTTAAAGCCTTATTGTTTTTGTTTTCCATGATCTTTACATGTATATCTCTTACTAAACTAGTTCAAGGTCTATACTGAAAGTATTTAGGCTTATGGTGTACAACCCAAGGGCAAAGCTGACATACATATGCAATGCATAATCAGGCAGTCAGGCAGTCACTAATCCCAAGTGGAAAAACAAGACTCTGTTTCTTTCAGTACTAACTGAGGAAACGAGTTAAGTATGATATTTATTATAAGTCTGGATTCAAATGGGGGGTTGGGGACTTCAATTCAAACAAATTTTTGAATTGAGAGTTTTTGATTTTAACTACATTATTACTACATTTTATAAGTTTTCATTTATTCTAACATATTAAATCATTTGCCAATTTTGTCACTATGTCTTTTGCACACTGTGGAAACATATCTAATTAAGTTCATTTTGTATGTGACAGATATTGAAGGGAAATAGAGACAGGGACAGCGTTGTTTATCACAACCTGAACCCACCAATCCAAGCTCGTTATATCAGACTCCGACCCACAGCATGGTATCGTCATATATCACTAAGGATGGAGGTTTATGGTTGCCAAGGTGTGAAAAATGTTAAGAATGCTGAGATTCAAGATTTTTGAAA